TTATTCTAAATCAATTTCTTCCAACTTGGTGTCTTCCAGATTGGTTTGGGCTACAGTTTCCAAAATTCTCTGCCATCTTGGCCAATTCTCAACACATACGGGGAGTACCAAGCTAGAGAAAACAGTTCTAAATAAATTCTGAGTTATCACACACATACATTCCAGGAAACTATGCCTGAAAGAATGCTTGAGCTGAGCTCCAAAGCATTATAATAATTCTCCCCATTTTCTTGCTTTCTAGATTATGAATCGAGCCTTTAGTAAAATCATTCAGTACTTGATGTTTAGTTAATCATCACAGATTTCATGATGGATTGGAAAAAAATGAATGTATACAATTAAAAACAGACCTGCAATTTTATTTTTTCTCATTTAAATACAAATAAAATAAGCCCCAGAGGCAAAACAATGATTTTATGGGTTTAGGGAGAACTATTTATTGATGTATTTATCAAAAGCTTTTTTGTATAATGCCCAATTCCAAGTTTGTGGGTGGGATACAATAATATAAAACAATATATAAGAGGCATCCCAATTACTTCAATTCATATATTTAAAATTCAATAATAAAATACATGATAGCCCCTAAAGACAGCTTAGGCACTATTGCTAAGAGCCAGATTAATATACAAAAGAATGGCCAAGGTTATACTTGGCTGGAATTTCTTAACAGTAGGCTTTCATGACAAATGATAAAGTTTATGATGTGGTATTTATTTGTTCTACATTCAGCTCTCTACTCAAATGAGTTACCTGAGCAACATGAAAGTCTTTGCAAAAATAAATTAGAAATCTTTTAGAACCTGTACTCTATTCCAGGAGCAGTGAATGAAGATAACAAATTGCTGCTATTCTTCTTTAAAGCACAATTAAACATTACAATCTATATGCTACTAAAACTCTTTTGTGTCTGTAACCTTCAATTGGGCAAAGTGGTGCATCATAGGGCGACAGCTTTTGAACCAAGGTACCTCAAATGGGCTAACTTACAGAATGCATCCAAAATCAAAGATCCATTACTCCCATGGGATTGAAATTTGGCAAAGTTGTGGCCACTTTAGCACTGCCATACTGACGCTGATTCAGCACCGCCACACTGCCGTGACCCATGTGATCATCATTTCCAATACTCCCTGACAGTTTCCCACAAGCCAGTGGGGAAGCCGACAGGAAGTCTAAACTCGATTGTGATTGCCGACGCTCCCTGCCAGCTTCCCACAAAGTCAGTGGGGAAGCTGGCAGGAAATTGCAAGTCCAAGGCCAGCAGGCAGGTAAATGGCTGCTGCCGGTTGGGAGAGGGAGGGGATGCGCATGAGACACAGGGTGGGTCAGGGAGAGGGTGCAAGGGGGTGGCCAAGAGGTGCAATGAGAGTCAGGGAGGGTGTGCAAGGGTGCAGCGCAGGTTGGGGAGGGTGCACAAGGATGCGAGTCGGAGAGGTTGTGCGGGGGTGTGGTGCTGGTCAGGTGTGTGAGGCAGGGAAAGAAAGAAGGGTGGAAGGAAGATTTCTGACATTCCCTGCCAACTTCCCACAAGGAAAGTCAATGGGGAAGCTGCCAGGATGTTGGAAGTTGCTCCTGTTCCCACAACTATTTTGCTTGCCTGCGGTCATTCTGTTTCTTGTTTAGGTAAGGTAATATCTCTGAAATGATGACCCAACGGGTTACGAGTTGTCTAGTAATTACTATGAAGGAGAGAAAGAGAAGGTGAAAAATAGTGGTGAAAATTAGGATTAAGAATCATACAGTAAAGGTCTGAAATATATTAAGTATCAAAGTGTTTAATATTAAATATCAAAGTGTTTAATATTAGATAGTTCTTTAAGGTTTCATCATTTAAAAAGAACAAAGGATACCCCAAGCAAAAGATACCACAGGCAATCATTCAAGTGCAAACCAATCTAAAAGTCAATGGTCTTTCCTATTTTGTTTCAACTAGGAATGGAACACTGTTATCCTTTCAGACTACACCAAATCTCCACGCAAATCGTGCCGCTCCAAGATAATCTGGCAGTTTGTAGGATTAAATCCTCCAATCCAGAAGCATTTTGAAGTGTTCCAGATTTTGGGTTCCAGATGAACCTTGGAGCACTCTGTTCCCAAAATGATGGATTTTGCACTCATAATCCATGTATTATAACTAACAGGACAATGCTGATTCATTGTGGTATTACAGGAGTTAGAGCAAGAGAGATTATATTCTGATAAGATTTGAATTATCTAACCCTTCTAATAAATTCCAATTATTAAACTGACTGATTTATTTTAAGCTCAGTTCAGATCCGTTAATAACTAGGTTTATTTCTAATTATCTATCGATCTGAATTGGTATAATTCTATCCTGATTTTCTGGTCTGATCAGGTGAATAACAAGATTTTTGCAAAGAAAGTGCCTTAAAGTACCATGCGTAACTCATGCGCGAAATGTCTGGAGAAGGGATAAGGAAATGTTTACATTTTGGGGAAAGACTGAGAGAGTGAGAAAGTGTGAGAGAGAGATTGAAACCATTAGTTCCTGTAAAACAATGGGAATCTTTCTCCTTACTCTCTAGCAACAGTTGCTCTCCAGCATTTGTTAGGGCAATGGCTGCTCCAAAAATTATTTGGAAGAAATACTTCAGACCTAGAGTGAGCACAGCACTTCTCCGCTATTCATTATTGTGACTCTCTGCTATTCATTAAAGCATGCATGGCTTTTTTCAGGCTTCCACTCTAGTTTGAAAAAATATTGTTTTGCTTTAAGAGTCACATTAGAGCCACTGTTTTAATAATTTGATTCATTAAAGCATAGCATCAGTAAATTAGGAAATAAAAATAGGGATGGAAGAAGAAAGCCAACAAATTCAACCATTCTTTACATTCTCTATTCACACATAAGCTTTCATACACAAGCAATCTTCAGTCTATGGATCAGCTGCAGGAGCCAAAATATGCATTGCAAATGCCTCGGCGTTCTTTTTGAAAGCGTACAGTTTAAACAGAAAAGTTGGTCCTCTAGTAAAAAAAAAAAAAAGTGTTAGCTTAAGCTTACGATTTCAGTGCAATATACACATTCGTCCTCTATAGCCAAAACAAATGGTTCAAGAAAGTAGCTAGATATGTATTATCAAATTCAAAGCAGAGGGCAAGTGGTGGGGTTTAGCAGGTCTTCAAGTGGATGAGAGAACAGAGTTTCAGTGCCCTGCATAGCCTCCTTCTTACAAAATGCATGCAGGTTAACACACAGAAATTCTAGACAATTGCAGAACACACTATACAGTATTATAATTCAAATATTTCCAGCTTTTGTTAACAAAATTGCACAAATAGCACCTGAATATAACCAGCTGCACACAGAACTCAGCATTACATGGTCTGCCATTGTGCAGTGTGAATCCAGCCATTAAAGCTTATTCAGCAAACCACAATTAAAACAGGGTTGTGATGTATGAATTCAATCTATATCACACTGTATTAGAGATCTCACTACCAGGAAGTTTTTTCCCCCCAACTTTGAAATAAACTTTATACCATGATGCCCTTGGTATTCATGCTACAACTGCTCACATCATAAACTTATACAACTCTCTGTAGCAAGAAATATGGAAGTCAGCAAAATTAGGATGCTCAATTCCATTTCCCTGAGAATATATCCTCTTGTATGCAAGGACCTCCATTTGCATAAAATAGTTAAAAATACTCTGATGAGAGTTGTGTATTCATTACTATAGACATGATCAATGTAACGTAGTATTAAAATAAGGGCAAACTAGTGTCTTATTTGTGTATTTTTGCAATTTGGGGGGCAGGGGGTGCCTTCAAGCCAGTTTTTGATTCCTGGTGACTGCTTGGACTTGTCCCTGGAGTTTTCTTGGCAAGACTGGTCCAAGGTCATCCAGCTGGCTTCGTACCTAAGGCAGGACTAAAAGTCACCATCTCCTGGTTTATAGCCTGATGCCTTAAGCACTACACCAAATTGGCTCTTTATTTTGCAAATATGGGGACTAATCTTGGAGACAAGTACACTGACCCCACTCTCTCAGATTGCCCTGTCAGATGAACAACAAAGTCCGTGTGAAAGTTTTTTGAGAAATTAGAGCAGTATGAGCAGGATAGAAATGTTTTAAATCAATGAAATAAATACATGCTTTCATTCAAACATGAGAAGCCTCTCTGCACAATCAGGAATTCTGCTTTATCAAGGCCCCCAACTGCTTGGACAATGCTAATATGGATAAATAAATATGGATAGAACTCTCTTTACAAGGCACAGTTGGAGAATTGAGAAGGCAGAAGCAAGAATGCACGAATGAGTCTTAATCATGAGGTCAGCGCATCAATCTAAATTCAAACAGGAAAAACGTGATTTTGCTTAGCATCTGTCAGCTTCTCTTAAATTAACTGTCTCTTTTCCTGGGATTGTGGAGCAGCAGCCATGTGAGTCCCAGAAAAGACAGAGCTTCCTTAAGGAGTTCCTGCTTAAAGATGACGATAAATATCTTTAAATGTACAGACATCTGCTGTCAGTAAAAAGAAGTTAAAACTTTCCTAGTCACATGAACGCTGCTCTGTGTGTGGTAAAGCTATAAAATAAAAT